GGGAGGGAGGGGGGGGGGGGGGGGGGGGGGGCTTCTAATTGTTGTTCTTTTCTTATTACGCATACAAGTTGTTTGGACAAATAGAATCAGATTTTATGTCAATTGTACACCAGAGTTGTGACGACTGATGTCAAACTTGGCCACTGCTGCTACTGTCCATGTGACCGTTCCTAATTCCCAACTCTCTTCATGCTTTCATTGCCTGAACACCTTATGGATACACTTTTTTTTTTTGGCAGAGCCATATGGGTGAAATGTTTGCTTTCCATGCCACAATTATGGCTAACACTCTCAATACACCTATCATTGTCTTCACAAGAACAGGGTCCATGGCTATACTTTTAAGCCATTATCGGCCTGCCTCAACAATATTTGCCTTCACAAATGAGTGAGTTCCAAGAGCACTACAAATTCAATAGTTTTTGCTTTTTAAATTACTTGAGACTGTAAATTGAATAACGTCCTTTCAAATACAATGTTGTTCAAAGCTTTAACCTAGTTAGAAAGCTTGAAATGCTACACGTGCATGTTTCCAAATATTTTAACAATGAATGCTTTATGGTGAAAGTATTAGATAGAAGATTAGTCACACTAAAATTGGTAATTTGTTTAGTAATACTGTGCATCCTTCTGTTTGGTATAATAGTTTTCAATAATTTGTTTATATGGTTTTCAATAACCACATTACATTCTTCAATTTGTTTATACTAGTTATCTTTCTCATGCAAGAGAACATTTCTTTGATGCCAATACATTTCCTGTCTTTCTGCCATCACACTAAAGATGTTAAATGGCCTTGGTGATGATATGCACTTAATGATTAGAATATCGTTATCCACTCCTATTTCATGCTCCGTGCTATCTTTTAGCTTTCATGCATACTTTTATATTATCTGTGTGTTGAATTCTTTTAGTTACTGTCTTGATGGTGTAGTGTAAATTAGGATCAAGTCTTCATTTCTTAATATTCACAACATTCTCTATGCTTGGCAGAGAAAGGATAAAGCAGAGGCTGGCACTATATCAGGGTGCCATGCCAATATACATGCAGTTTTCAGATGACGCAGAGGAGACCTTTGCCCGAGCACTCAAGCTATTATTGGTTGGTGATTCCTCCATCTATCTAGTTTCTACACTTGGATGAGCATCTCCTGAAACTAATATTTTCAAGTATTTTCCATGCTTTAGAGTAAGGGTCTGTTGATGGAAGGACAGAATGTTACCCTTGTCCAGAGTGGAGCGCAACCTATATGGCGTCGAGAATCTACTCATCATATTCAAGTTCGCAAGGTCCAGGCCTAACTTTGTACCAATAAAGGGTTTTTGTTTGAGCAGCTGATATTTATCTTGAGATTTGTTTTATTTTCGTCTAATTACTAGTAATAGTAACTTGCCGTTCCAAGTATGAACTCAAAAAAATCCTAATGAATTTGAATACCACAAAGGCTAATTTTGTTGCAACTATGTTCATGTAGAAAGAAAATTATCTACTGATTACGAAGGCATCCGATAAAATCTTGCAATGATTTCTTCTGATATGTTGAAATGTTCTTAGCGCTTTTTTTGCTACCCAACACTTGGTTGATAAATTCGGTATAGATACGTTGTCTTTGTTTTGAGTTGTTCTTGGCTTATAGTTGGAAGTAGTGGAAATATTGTGCATAGTGGTTGGGGCCTGAGACCATCATATTGGAAGAATAAATTGTAGTCTGATCCCGGAGTGGAAATCCATGATCGTTCTGTACTGTTGTCTTGACCTTTCACGATTAGGACGCGGCAATCTCAGCTTCAGTCTCCGTGACCAATGGACTTCAATGGTGCCATTCTTTGGGGCATCATCGTGTTCATGTCAGTGGATAGTTATGAGTGTCCCCAAGGAGACGCCCAATGGTTCAGAGCAGAATGGACTAGCCCGCTGTGTGTGGTAACGTAGGGCATGTAGAGCTTTATCCCATGATGTTTGTGTAATCTAAAATAAAAATCGAAATAATCAACCTCACTTTCACTCTTACCAGTCCAGCATGCGGTCGAACCACCCCCATATCTGGTTATCAATTGAACCTATCTAAATCAATATTCAGTTATCCAACCCAACATCTGGTCAGTAATCAATAGTCCAACTGAGCCTCTCATTCCTCTTAGCCAAACCATTTAGGAAAGTAGTCGAACCTGCAAGGAACTAGCCAAACCCTTTTTAGGCGAAGCCAAGTCCAACCAAGCCCTCTTCTTTCGGCCTAACCTAATCCTCTCGTCTCCCAACCAAACCCTCTCCTCTCTAAGCCTAATCGAACCCTTTCCAACATTGGCCCAATTAAACTCTGCATCTATGCCAGCCTCTCTCGTGAATAAACAACCTCTCTTTAAGTTTATTAGGCCAATCTTTTCACCGGAAATTATCCCTAAGCCTCCAGACCACCATTTTCATCAATGGCTACCCTTAAGTTGGACTCTGTACCAACTTTACTTGCTTGCCACTTTTATCATCAATGATTTATTCTCAAACACCAATCTATCTATCAACAGTAAACATAGCATGTCAATTAATGACTGACTTTCTAGAAAAGAAAATATTCCCTGTTATTTTTTTCTCTTCACCGGGTAAGCTTACATGACCAAGATCAACTAATAACTAGACATCCAGTTTCTTCTCCAGCCCAATATTATAGATGTGGAAAGCTCAATTTATATGATTTTTTCACTACTTAATCATTGGCATTATTTGTGAGAATATGAATAAAAGATAATTCATTCATTTTCATTCTTTATTAAAAGTTTTTTTCATAACTGATGAAATTCCAAGATAAGATAGAATATGATGTGGGATAAATAAATATTCATGAGAAGTAAAATAAAAGAACTTAGAACTTAGAAGAAATTAGTTGAAGAAGAGAAAGATTAGGGTTGAAAAAGAGAGGAAAAATAAGGGTTGGAAAACCGAAAGTTTGTAACTTTTTTTATTAATTCATCGTAATCTAATCACAATGTCAAAAACTATCTTTAAATAATAAAACCTTAAAACAATTAGCAATTAGGTCAAAGTTCTACTAAAAATAAATTTAAATCCAGAATAGAATAATATCAAATTTGCTAATGAAACGTGAATAAAATTTTTAAAAAGTTGAACTTGATAACATAAACTAAAATCTAATAGCTTAACCTATAAACAATAATTTTGCTACTTTTCATCACTAAATGAGTGTTTATTTACGCGATAACTTCTGCTTTTAAAGCTGACCGCGTAAATATGAAGTTTGGTAACATGAAATATTAATTGCTTTTCATGTGGGATCCATATATAATTATTTTTTTTTTGATTTACGTGGGGTGTCCGGGCCAGCTTACGCGCACCACGACTAATCCCCACGGCCCACTGAACATCCTGCAAGCCCAGTGAGCAGGTAAGGCACCACGGGGGTGACAGGCGTGCATAGTGAGGTTCGAACCCAGGTGCGGAGGAAGGGGACAAGCCCCTCCCACCGCTAGGCTAGAACCTCACTTGCAGGGATCCATACATAATTTTACTTGAAACATTGAGAAGCAGCTGAGAGCTGCTTCTCACACCTGCAACCGGGTGAATATAATTTACCAGTGTCCATTCTAAATTAACAGTGTTCAATGAATATAATTCACCTGGACATGAGGCATTGTTCACTAGGAGTGAACAGTGCCCAGATAAATATAATTCATTTGGCACTGTTCACGTGAACAATATTAAGTGTCAATTGAATAACTTCTTGTATTAAAAAAATTTATTTTTTTAAATTATATTTTACTCTAAAAACTAGTTAATAACATTATATAAATTAAAAGAAAATCACTTGATAATATAGTATTTAGAAAATTTGATCACAAGCCCAATTATGTTTTTTCCAGGTCCGATCCAGTTAAAAAAAATTTAATTTTTATTTTTATTTATAATTATATTTTATTCAAAAAATTAGAAGGAGATCGTTTAATAATGTAACAAAAAATTCAGTTTTTATTATTGCGCATTTAAGAAACTATAAAAAATATAATCCTTGTTGGATAGATTTCACATAGTTTAATGGAATAATAAAAAAAAATATTTGATATTAATATTATTTATTTCATGATATAATAACAATAGTTAAATCTACAATATTTAAATTAAAAATCATCAATATATATATTAATTAATTATTTATTTTATAAACTCAATTTAAAAAACATTCTTTTAACCAAACACATTAAAACTAATTTTTGTTCAACCTCAATTTTAACCACAATTTTAACCAAACATATATTTTTTCAAACCAACCTCAACTAAAAGTACTTTTTTATAAAATAACTTTTTTCAAATCACAACCACAACAGCTATCATAATACCAAACATACTCTAAAGATTATACATATGTGTAAACCGTGACTCGAGTCTGGTATTCTTATTAACTTTCTTGGGTTAGAAAAACTTAATTCTATCGATTATAACTTTAAACAACTCTGAAAAAATTCCTCAAGATCAAAATCAAGCCACTACAATATTCTTTTTATAATCCAAGTAAAGTTTAAATCTGGTTATCTAGCTCATGAACTAAGATTCGTTGAACTTTACCGTTACTGGTAAAAATAACTTGTGTATTTAAAGTAACATAATTTTTTTTTTGTGCCAATAACAAGAATATTAAAGAAGAGGTTTCAAAAGAAGTATCAGAGATATGTTGTTGTCTTTTATACATAACTAGGTTCTTCATGTTAATAATAGATCTAATATCAAAGTCTAGTAATAGTTTAAAGATCTAACTATTTAATTTAATTATCCGTAAGACTTTGAATGATTTAACACTACTTTAAAATTTTTTAGTGGTCTTTTAAAGGATACTATTTAGATATAATCTGTATCATAAAATAATTTACAATATTAAATATATAATAATACTTGTTGCACTCGACAACATGACAACCTTAAAAATTCAAAATAGAAAGAATAAATTTCTGGCATCTTATTTTTTGATAAGAAAATATATGTTTAAATAGTTACCACCTAGTATTATGATTACTAAAAACCTTAATTAATCAACATAAATTCTATAATTCTAGACTGGTTGTGGCTAAAAAAAGTATTAACACCCCTAACTACTCTATTTAATGTAAGCTGCATTGTTGGTTTTGTTTTAAATTGTTAAAAGTTTGTTGGTTTATGCTATAATGATTTATTTGTAATATTCCTGACTCTGATATAAGTGAATATTCAACTATGGATGCTTCTAACTTTAATGTTATTAAATATTACATAGAAAAAAAACAATAATAAAATAAATTTAAATAAGTATTTTTTATTTTCTTATACATGCATATTTTTTTTTACTTTTTACTTTTTAATTTTTTAAATAAAATCTAACTTAGTCTATATAAATTAGGCTGGGCTGAACCCAGCCTGATCACTGGCGTGACGAGGCTGTTTTTACCAGCCAGCATGCGTGAATTGTTCGCGCATGCTTGCCACAGTCACCATGTAATTAAATGTCTAATGCAAGGGAATTATTTTGCAAAACCGGAGACACTTACCTGTGAGCAGGATGAAGGCGATGGCGTGCTGTTCCTTCCTTTGTTTACTTTTCATTTAGTTTTTTTTTCTTTTCTTTTGCTTTCTCTCGGTGTAACATGTTCTTCTCTTCTGCTTGTCTCTGTTCTCCTTATGTGCCCACTGTTTCCTCTGGTTCTCTCCCCCTCGTCTTCTCTTTGCCTCTGTTCTTAAAGAAAAATAAATCACGCTGGTTCCTGGAACCTGCTGCTTGCAGTTGCAGACGAAGATGATAGTTTGAAAGGGCTGTTCCACCAACACTGCCTCCTCTCCTCTGTTTTAGTTTTCCTTTGTTTTTTTTCGTCCCCCCCTTTCTGATTTATTTCTCTGGCTTTAATAGCCAGAGAATGCCACACCGTTACCCCGGTAATAAAGTGACTGTTATTGCAGGAGTAATGGCAACGCATTGTTGGGCATCCTTTTTTTTACGGTCGGGTGAAGAAGATGAGCAGTGTTGATGGCCCTTTGCGTTTTGGCCCTTGATTTTTGAAAGCTTTGTAAGCAAGCCCCCTGGATAAACTTTAATTGGACCCCTAGATGCTAGAAACATTTACATAATGGTCCTTATACTTTAATTTCTTGCAGTTTTAACCTGAATCAGCCCTAAAATGAAGCCCCTGATTACATTAATTAAATTAATTCCAAGTTTAATTAAGTCCCCAAACTTATCAAACTCTTGATTTTATTAATGAAACTACTTCCAAGTTTAATTGAATCCCATACTTTCAATTTATGTTACATTAACTCAAATTTTAATTTATTCTTCATTTATTTCACTTTCTTATTTGTTTTTTTCATCATCATTTTTTCACTTTTATTTATTTTTTTATTATAATTTTTCAGGAAATAAAAAAAATAAAATAAAAGGGTAAAAATTGGGTTATCTTATGACAATACTTATAAAAATCAATTTAGAATTTATATTGTTTATTATTTTTTAAATTTATTTTATAATATTAACATGCTTATGAACTCTAGATAAAAAAGCTTAAAATGACTCAAACATGACAAGACATAGAAAAAAAACCTATAGGCTTCTTAGGTTTGTAAACTTGAAAATTAAATAACTAAGGGTGAGTAACGTAACAAACACTATTCAAACCTAAATAGATATGGATTGAATACAATTTAAAAATTTAGAATTATCTTCATCTTCCTTATTATATATATAAAAGGGTATAAGAGATAAGAAATCATGAACTTTAACATAATGTTAAAAACTTATGATGTGTTAAACATTAAATATGAGAAGTAAGAAATTAAATAGTTTAGAAAAATTAATTTCATGAGACTCTTCTAATATTATTATCTTTTTAGAGAACTCAAATAGAGAGTTTTCTGAAACTTATCTAATTATTTCACTATCGACTCATTTACCTTGTTTTTCTTTATAAAGTTCGGAAGGAATAGGTTTATAGGATGGAGTCCATAACAGAGAGCTATTGTTCTTAAATATTTTAATGTGGGACGATATTTCCATCAGGATAAGATTTTATAACAAGTCACTTGCAACTTTTACAACTTTAGCTTTAGTGAGCCGTTTCTAATGTGTTTTTCTTGGTTGGCATCACACTGATCTTATACTGAAGTCTAAGTCTATTGTTTTTTATAATAATAGAATTAATGCTTGCATGATCGTGAGAAAATTGCTTTAGGTGTATTGGGGAACTAGGACTTGCACTGTCTTATCAGCCCCAGGAAGTGTAGTTTTGTAGTCCATAGGTCATGAAGTGAAAACTTGGAGGGGAGATACACTTACATTTTTGTCAAACATAGCAGCTTCATATATGGTAGAAATTCATTCTAGAAGGTAATTCCATGGTTAGCAACAGGATCAACAAATGATAATGAGGCAAATTGAACCAAAAGCCGCCCAGCCTCATTGAACTCCTTAATTTCTACTTAACCTAAACTTCAGAAACAGAGTGAACGGGGGAGTTAAGGTGTTGCAGTAACCGAGAGAAATAGGTGTTATGGGAGTTCAGCGAATAGGTTATATGTACTCTCCCACAGCACGACTTTTTGTTTATCTGAAAGTTTCTGCAAATTGTTATCCATCACCCCCAATCTCTCCCTCTTATTTATATATGCTGGTACCATAATCACTAACATTTTTCTGGTGGAAATTTCATCATGTACATCAGACTCTGAAGTTCTCTTCATGACCATTCTCCTCGCATTTCTTTTCCAGCTTGATGCTCTTGTACCACCTAGCACATGCCATATACACAACGAAGTCTATAGTCGTCAAGCCTGCTAAGAGGAAGTAAAACCTGTCAAGGTGACCTGCGTTAAGATTTCCTGGGATCCATCCGGGCATATGATCCTCAGTTGAGATCTTCACAACCATAGTCACAAGCAAGCTACTCACATAATTCCCTAGCGAGATAGAAGTCATGCAAAGTGCACTCCCAAAGCTCTTTAATCCATCGGGTGTTTGTGCATTAAAGAACTCCAGTTGACCGACATACATGAAAACTTCGGAAGCTCCAATTAGTGCATACTGAGGAGCTTGCCAGAAGATGCTCAAGGAGCTTGAGCCTTCACAGTGTTTGCAATCTTTTCTTGCATACTTGAGCCTATAACACTCCACAAGCCCAGCCGAAACCATTGCCATTATTGCAATCACAAGGCCAACACCCATTCTTTGAAGTTCAGTTAGTCCTTTTGAGCTTGTCTGTTTGAAACTGCTCACAAGTGGATCGAGAACTCGCCGATATAGGAAAATAAAAAATGCAACACTAAGAATATCGAAGGCAGACATGCTGGCAGGAGGGATTTTGAAGTTTGAAATGGTTGTTTTCATTGCAGCACCTTGTTCCACAAACAGAGAGGCCATCTGTGTGAAAACCACTGAATAGATTATGGTGCAGAGCCAAATTGGGAGTAGTCTCAGTATGCATTTAACTTCTTCTACTTGTGTAATTGGGCAGAGACGCCATGGGTTGCGACAGCCCCTCTTTTGATCATCAATATCTCTTGAAGAGATAAAAGCTGCTCTATCCAAGAACCTAAAATACATGGATGAACAGTTAGCATTATTATAGATCAAAAGGAACTTGTAATGCTTGATTCATGGAATCTACGAAACCCAGTTTTTTCGAATGATGAACTGGATAATATTGCTTCCTAGACATAACGAATGCTGAATTTAGTCAAGGATTATCAATTCTGTGTACTTCGGATAAATCAAGTTTTATGAGTCTGTGAGCGTTCTCTCATTACTTACTTGAATCCGTCGGTGTGGAGAATCTTTCTGTTGCCATTCATCGAGCAATCTTTTGTATCCACATCGTACAGCTCCTCCTCTCCATCTGGTGGCATCTCGACCCCACATTTCTTCATCGCGGCTATGATAACTTGGCCGAACCTGGAGAGAGGGTTACCACTTGGTTTAAAGTGCCGGTATCTAGCTGTTCCTCCTAGAAACAATACCAGTGCTGCAAAGGCTGAACCTGCAGACATCCAGAATCCTAGTGCCCACATCCCTTCATCCTCAAAATACCCCAATATGGTGTTGGAAAAGAGGGAACCAAGGTTCAGGGCGAGGTAGAAATAGCTGAAAAATGAAACCTTTGAATATCCTTCCCTAGGGTCGTCTTCATCAAACTGATCGGCCCCAAATGTAGCAATGTTAGGTTGATACCCTCCATTTCCTAGAGCAATGAGGTAAATGGAGAGGTAAAACAATGAAACTTCCATGTTTGAATGGGATCCACATGGAGTCAGCTCATCTCCACATCCTTTTGGTCTGATTAAAATTAGGTATGATGCGAGTGATAGGATTACCAGACCCTGCCATACAAAACAAAAGCAGCAATATTTAGCACATATGCAATTAAATTGCAGCACCTGGATCTGCTTACTGTACGAAATCTTCTTGTATTTTTTGAGGTGAAATATGAAAGTTACACTTTTAATGCAAAATGTAATGAAAAGTTTCAGGGTCACAGTAACTTACTATGACAAAGATGACCTGAAAAACTGCACAAGTCTTGTATCTTCCCCAGTAGGAATCACTAAGGAAAGCACCGACAAGAGAGAAGATGTAGACCGTTCCGGTCCATTTGCTAACGTTATTAGCAGCATCGGCGTTGCTTTGTTGCAAAACCCTTGTCAGGAACAGAACTAAGTTCACACCAACACCAAAGAATGCAAGTGTTGCCAGGCCCTGGTTCACTGGAATTTATTGAACAGAACAAAACACACAGTTCACCTTTAGAGGCTTTATTTGTAGGGAATTCTAAACTTGCAGATAACTCAGAACAAGATTTTTTAAAGCGTTTGCTACAATTAATGGCAATTTTAATTGATTAATCATCAGTAACATCACCAGGCATACATTTGTAAAGTGGCTAGATGGGTTGTTGACATTTACTACTGTCCGAATTCCCCAGAGGGTGAGGATGAACTGAAGTTCTTTGATTATGTTACGAAAGAATTAATAAGCTTATGCTCACATAGCATGTTTTTATATTTCATCATTTCCATTTCTTCAGAAGGTAAAAGAAAGACCCTAACTATATCTCACCAAGGTGATGAAAGGGGTTGTCCACCTAGAAACAGATTGCGTGTCTAGAATAATCAATTTTGAAGATCAAAACGTCCCATCAACAGTATCTTGTCATTCGCTCTTCTTTCCACTGAATTTAACGTTAACAATCGTTTGAACAAATTGCCTGGCCTGGCCAACCATGATACGTACACACCTCTTCACTGTTCATGTGCGGGGGAAGCTCATATTCAGCAACATGACAAGTACGTTAGAATTTGATATTTTTATACCTACTTTATATAAAAGAGTGGCCAAGAGCACCACCAAATTAACGTCAAGCATATTAATAAGCTGAGACGCAACTCTCGATGATTATCAAAAAAAAAAAAAATGCTGAGACGCAATAATGTCGTATCTAACTGGCCTTACTCAAAAGCTTCTTTCTTTCTTCTTCCACCACCACTGAATTTTAATGCCAATGGTTGGCCAACTAGTGGGAGTTCTAACTTTTATGGGTGTAAAGCCAGAGGAAAAGGAACTTGCCCCTAGCTTTATCTCTTCCTTTCAATCATTTTTTTTTTTACTTGTTGAGTACTGTATATTAATTATATATATATATATATAATCTCTGTAGATGAAAAAAATGAGCACCTTTTGATTAAGATGATGACAAGGATTTCCGCCGCCGACCTAAACAAACTACGATCGATCCGGCTAATATTGTCTTTTGAGATTTATGGCCGTATAACTTAAGCAGGTGTGATAAACAGCAGAACGCTGTTGTTTATGATAATACAAGCATATGCATGTGACACGTTTAATCTAGTGAAAGATAAAAGATTTTTTTTTTAATGATTCTCAATTTATAATTATTTAAAGAGATAAACAAAATAAAATAGAAAGTTATTTCAATACCACTAAAAAATATAGTAAATCTTCTCTTGTATTTCTATTTTTCTTTTATCTCTATCTCTTAATATATATAATAACAAATACTATAATTATCTTCTTCTTCTTTTTTTATAGCTGATATAACACGACCTCGATGATATATACACCAGTGAAATATAGACACAAAAGCACTTAGCTTGCCAAAATAAAATTAAAGGAAAAATGTTATCGTATTCGATTTAGATTTTCTTAGGCACGTGGATGAAACCCAGACCATGCAGAGAACCACACCTATTTACGTGCCAGATGAATCTTAGTGCATGGTTTCCTCGCCCCTCTCTCCAGTAGTAATGGAAGTGGGTGGCTTAGTGGAAAACCAAGAAAAGAGTTCCATGTCTTCCTGTCTTTACTTCTGTCTAGAACTCGAGGGGGTTCTTCTTGTTTCTATCTTCTCGAAGATGTGTTCTGTGGCTTCCATTTATTCATTGGCTGTGCCGAAGCCCGGCCGGCATTAATGAGAGTTTTAACACTTGTTTTTGTTTTCAATTCTCTATCTTACCCCGTTCATTAATTTAGCTACCTTAATTTTGTCATCTTTTCCAAGATCTGAAGTGCATACTACTACTAGTAAAGAAGAAAGAAGAAAGGAGCATTTACTTATCATAACAACCCCATCTCTCTTCTTTTTTCCCAAAATATTTGGTGATAAATTTATTTTGCAAGAACAATTTCATCGAAAATAAACATGCACGGACATAAATCTTACACACACGTATGCTATATGTGTTTTTGTGGATGGATCATTGGACATGTTCCCTAGTGCGTTGGGAGTAAGCAATAAATATATATAGGATAGAACAACGGATGTTATGACAATATACATCCCAAAATTCACCTATAATACTAGGAGTTTGCATTTTGGCCCGTATTGTTTTCTTGCAAGAAATGAATATGTAGAGCTGGGTTAGATATCGTGGCAATAATTATTTTTAAAGTATATTTTGTTTGAAAATACATTAAAATAATATATTTTTTATTTTTTAAAATTTAATTTTGATACTAACATATTAAAACAATCTAAAAATAATTCATTTAAACTAAAAAAATAAAATAATAATTATTTTAGAACACATTTAAAATTTAAAGACAAACAAACTCGTAAATTAATCAGCAGGGCTAGAAAAGAATGCGGAGCTGCAAAATATTTGTAATGAGAAGACCAGCCATAAACCAAGCAAGATTCATCTCGAGATAGGACTATTCATGGTCATATTTAATGATCTTATATTAGGCGGTGTTACTTAGAATTTGTGCTTACAGAGTATAATGATTCCAGCAGCCCACTGTCCAGATTTGGCTTTGATAGCAGGACGGCCATGCCAATCAACTGTTCCATCAGAAGTGCATTCTCCTTCTCCCTCTTTGAACTTATCCTGCGTATGAAAATTTTTCACCTCATAGTTATACACCTACTGAATTCATCTTCAAACTCGAAGAAATATTAGTAAATTAAATAATTTTTAATCATAATTAACCACTCAACATTAATGTAATGTCTGTGCTTTATGTTATGCATCGGATTAATTAAACCACGTACTGACGTGCTAATAAGCTAGCTACCGTTTACAAAAAGTAAAATAAAAATGGTGATCCCCATTTTTTAAGCTATCCAACAAATGTAAGAAAGGACAAGAGAAAAGATTTTAAGATCATCCTTTAATATTTTGTGGCCAAGACCTATCAAGGGGAGGTTATCAAAGAAGATTTACGAGGACAAGAAAATAGCTAGAAGCTTTCGACTAACCTCCTTGCACACCTCCAAAGAAGCCATTAATTATCTTGAAAAGAGAGAGATCTTCTGTTATGATGCTTGATGAGAAAAGGAGGAGGTGCTTTCTATAAAGAAGAGAAGGGAAGTTGGGACTGAAAGAGAAGAGGAAAGGGTGTATAAATAGAGAGTGAGCGGGTGATACGAACGGTGTAGATTTTAGAGGGCAAAAGGAGGGGTCACCCAAAGGGGTAAATTAATAGTTTATGCAATATGCAGTTTGTTTGAAGTCAGAAAATGATCCGTCTTTTTCCTCGAGCCTTGTCACTGAGAAATGTTTTTTTTTCAATTTATAAAAATATTTTATTTAAATAAAAATTTCATTTTTTATGTTTTTTCTTTTTAAAAATACTCCATTTATTGAGCAAATTGTTGGTATTTTTTTTCTGAAGTAATACTCCAGTACTGAACAAATTGTTTATGCTTTTCCTCTTTTTCCAATGATATGTTATCTCTCATCCTCCTTTCTTTTTTTCCATTCTATCCATTGGTTATACCTTATCTAGATTTATTAGGGATAATCAAACGCACCTTTTTATATTAATATTAATTATATAAAACACTAAACCGTAGAAACTATTGTGTATTTTTTTTATTATTTATTCTCTAACGTACACATCACTATCCATGGATTGAAATAATAATTTTTTAAAAAAATTGTAATTTAATTCTTGATTTTTTTTCACAATTAAACCATTTTAAGTTCAAATTTGCACATGGTTGCATTTTTTTAAAAGAAATAATTGAATTGAAAAACAAGGGATTAAATAATTTTGGTTGAAGAGTAGAAAATGAAAACATAAAATAAATTTCTTTATCATCTAGCATGTACCCTTTAGTATACTACAAATTGCTTGAATGACTGTTGCCATAATTCACATAAAATAAAAAAAGAAAAGGTATTTTCATATATGATTTAAATAAATTTCATTTTTATGGTAATTAAATAATTTCATATTTGTTGGATGAAAAAGTTATTTTTTATATGACTAGGTGTTTGATATATGTATCAATTCTTTTATAAGTAATTAACTAATTATTAAATCCAAGATGAAATATGATTTTCTTTCTTAAAATAGAAAATAAGATTTAATAATGGAAAACAAATTATCCTTATATAAAACCGAAGGCAGATGTGATTTTTATATTTCTTTTTGGTGTCATACAACATTTTAAAAAAAACACATGACCAAGAAAATATAAAGTAAATAAGAAGATATAATTATAAAATAACAAATAAATACATATTGAAAATATATTGATAATAAAATGTAGCTCAACTAGTACTAACTAGTTTGCGATCCATGCTTGTAAGGTTATTTGTTATTATTTGTCGATAAAGAAACATCATAAATTGTAAATTTTGAATTTTGAACTTGCTATTGGATAAATGTGGAAATAAATAAATAGTACTTAAAAAATAATAAGATAACACACTAACACAACAAGATAAATATAATTTTGTAAATAAATATTTTTAAAACAAAAATAGATGTGAACAATACATTAAAATTCCAGTTGAAACCATTAAAATTTAATTAAAATATAATCAAATCAACAATATAAAATATATATATCTAATAACATTGGAGGAGGAGAGGGAGAAAAAAAGTATGCTAATAGCAGTATTTAGTTGAACCTAGTAAATTTTATTTGTTTTGTAGGATTTATACTCTTATATTTTGCATCTTAACAACCATTTGTTAATTAATTATTTTTTGAAAAATCTCATCAAAGTCGTACAATGTAATGTTTAGGTCAGGATGTGATGGGTTTAAAATTGAAACAGTACAACCATTATCAATTATACAATAAACAAATTATAAACTTAATATTTATTGGATTCATCACTTGCAAAAGTCTTCAAAAAGATGAGTGTAAGTGTTTTTATTAAATTTTGCAACCATGTTAGGGTTTTTCTTATAAAACAAAAATAAAAAGTTAAATTTCTAAATTCAATTATATTTCATATTTTTTATGCAAATAAATAATCTTAAATTTGATAACTATAAAAAAAAATTACAACGAAAACTTTTGCTTTTGTATCAATAATTCCTTTCTCTATTTTTCTTTATCTTTATTCTTTCTATGTTTCTTCATATAACTCCATTGGAATCAATTTTCATCCCAGTTATTTTTCATGCAAATTAAATATTTTGTTAAAAGTCTCACAAATAAACATGTAATTAAACTTTAAGAAAAATAATAAAACATACAATAACAAGCTTTTACTAGGTGTTTTACATGATTGATAAATAAAATCGCTCATTTAATGTGCTTACTCATCGAACCACGAGTTTCTTTATTTTTATTTTGTATATCGGATCATGAGCGCTTTGTAAAACTTTCTAAAATCATAAATTGTTGAAACAAAGCCCAATTATTCTTGGTGACATGCCTCAATTTATAGTTTTTCTACTTCTTTATGTCATCTAACTCGGCCTTTCTAGTTATTTATTTGTGGGCATTATAACAAAAAAATACGTAACTTGATATAGGAATTTATTAAATAGAAATTAGGTAAGGAAATAAAAGAATATAAGTTTACAATAATACAACATTAATTGATTTAAACTTAGCTAGTTATATTATGGTTTTTCTATACTTTCCTAACAAGTGTCTTGTTACTCTCTTTCTACTAAAAATTTTCTGAATTAATTTTATATATTAATTTGTTTTCAAAATCTTAAAAATTGATAATTTAAATTAAAAATTATTCATTTAACCTTAAACTTTCTTTACCAAGTATTTATTATATATATCCATTCAAAATAATCATGAAGTTAACTTTATTGAAACAATGATTCTATAAATGATCATTTCATTGTAAAGGTGATGGAACAACTAACTTCAATATTGGATCATTCTCTTGTCTCTAAGACTAACCATACATGACTAAATGCATATAAAAACTATATTATATACTTTTATACTTATTTCTTGAAGATAATGTTTTTAATAAAAAAAATTAAAATCTTTTTTTTTTTTTTGCAAAAGCATTGACGAAAATTTATGTGAAATTTTTTTAAAGGGAAACATTAACAAAGGCCAAATACAGACCTAAACATGATAATAAAAGGTAATATTTATACATAAACTATTTTTCTCCCTATTATTTATTATCATAATCTTCCAAACACGTTTGTTTAAAAAACTTGAAAGGAAAAATTATGCGTGTCTATGTGTGTATATACACACACATCTTTTTAGACTAGCCTAAATATTTGAAATTTCATCCCAAAACTCCACACTTTTAACTTGGTGTTGACCCAATTTATCTAATTTTGTATGATACACTCTTTTTATGAATTTTTTGAGTTCATACACACAAACTTTCTATATACATATTTTTTTTCTATTCTCACACTACTTTATATAAATAGCAGATATCATTTTCTATACTAGAAGAACACATGACATAATAATTATAACATGACACATCAACCAATAAGTAACTATGGCTAGCCAATGGTTCTTCATGTACAAAACAGCATTGATAGCACTAATAAAACATTATTTTTCTTCTCATGATAACTAACTTCACAAGCAAGGTTGAATATATATTTTTATATCAATGATGTGATTTCCTTCTCTATTAATAAGTTTCAAGGTTTTGGTGTATAAATACACCCAGTTACCAAACAATCAAGAGAATAACTAAGCCTACAACCCTGAATCTTTATAGCCATACAAGGAATTAACAACCATAAAAACTAGAGCTACATCATTGAATTTTCATGGCTAGGGACATGTAAATACATATTCCCCAACTTTCATTTAATTTTTTTCTTTTTTTTTATGTTTTTTCCTCTTAACACAATTATTGCCTTGAATATTAGAGGGTTTTTGGTTTCTCAAAAGACTTATTTCTTTAACACAAATCATATAGCTACTAGCTAAGCCTATCAACTAGTGGTTAGTCTAATTAAACTATATACTAATCCAATCATAAAAAATCTAATTTTTTTGTGTAATTTTTTTTATGAATTCATCCCTTAGTAAACTTTATATTAAAAAAACAAGAGCACGTAAATGCCAAGTTCATCATTTTTGTGAATTGTAAGTGTCGATTTTTTTCAGTTGTAAAGTTGCTTTTATAAAATATGTCCTCCATGTTCATACATGGTTCAAAATTAATTCAATATCCGAAGTGCTTAGCGCAAAAATAAACTCTCTTACCAATCCCAATCCTACTTTAATTCAAGAGATGAACTAGTCGGGCCTTAACAAGTCCATCTATACCATGCATATATACAGCTATATGTGGACGGAGGGGTGCCCCTCAGGTTTTTGCTAATTATTGCACCTTCATTACCTTCTTTATATATGATAAAGTTATCATTTTTCTTTCATCTATTATCCTTTATATATAATACATATAGTAATGATGAGAGTCCAACTCTTATCCTTCAAAACAAAACAGTAATATCAAATACTCCACCGCTATCACAAGCTATTTGTTGAAATCAATACTTCATTCATTTATTTAATATATATCCATAGCTTACAAGACATTTGTTCAACTCAATGCTCAATTTTATTTATTTATATGAGATACCACGTTATATTATGCAATAAAAAACATGCATGCTTCATATTTAAAAGAATATATACAACAAGATAATCTTAAAATAACAATCTTTAACTATTAATCAAAGAAATAATTGTATTATTAGTATAATTACCACTTCTATTGGGGTATATATATAAATAAAGCATTGCTATATTTGTAATATTCATTTTTTAATTATAGTATAAATACTAAATAAATGATTTAGTTTTCTCAATGCTCCATTTTTAAGTATGAAGAAGTAAATACTCGAGAGGAATTATATTTTTAATTATTGTTTGAAATATACCTTTTCGATGTATAATATTTTTTATTATGTATTAATTTCATTCTATTTTGAAAAAAAATAATTTATTGAATATAAGCCAAGAAATATGTTGGAAAAAATACCTTGGATATTATATTAAATAAATAATTCATAATCTAGCGGTGGAGTACTTGATGTTGTTTTTGTTTTTTAAGATTCAGGGTTCAATTTCAATAATTAGAGTCGAGTATTAAATCATTTATAAAGGGTAAACTAACATTTCAAATTAAAGAAGAAGAAAACCAAAAACCTTATCAACTTGCAGATTAAAGAAATTAGCAGGATTATCACCGGTAACAAGAGGAGTGGCAATAGCAGCATCCTCTGTGGATTTGGATCTATTGGTTGAGGCATCTCAGCTAATATATGATTTTTAACTTCATTTTTCATTATCTTTCCGAAAATCCTGATGAACTCCAAAGGAAGTCCGAGTCAGCTACTTTTATACACAAAGTTTATAAAGATAAAAGGCAAATGTAATAAGGAATACAACTGTTAAGCATGATTAACACACACCTCCATACCCAAAAGGAGAATTTGATCCGTGGGAAACCGAGGCATTGCATAAAGAAACAATAAGGACAAGAGCTCGATCGTAATCTAGGCATGACTATGCCTCTCTTTTTTCCTCGCTGAATTTGTATGCCGAATCGAGAGTATATTCATTCGGAGAACCTAACCAGTTCTTTGAACCTTTTGTGTTGTTTGATATATTATTCCATTTACCTTAAAATTTGAATTGAAGAAGTAAAATATAAGTGAAATGACGGGTAAAATCAAATAGAAAAGCTTGTTCTATAGAAAAGCAAGTCCAGGAATATCACTATTATCAATTAACTAGACTGAGAGCAAAATAAAAACATGGTCAAATCTTGGCATGCCCAGTTGTTAATTACCAAGATAATATTTTTAAAAGTAGATTGAAATATAGGAAAGCCAGCGAGACGTGCCATAATAGAAAACAAAAGATAGGTAAGAGGCACGAACTTCACGTCAAATCAGTCCATTCTAATTGATAGTTCATTGCAGCAATTAATACTATCTATGTGGTATTATAATAGTTTTTATAATTATAGTTTAAAAAAATTATTTTATAAAAATTATTTTTAATTAAAATTAATTTAGTATTTATGTATATTTGATTAAAACTGTGATTAAAATTATAATTGAAAAAAAAATTAATGTGTTTGGTTAATAATGCTTTTGAAATTGAGATTATAAAATAATTTAAAAATATATATATTAATATTGATGGTTTTTAATTTAAATATTGTCGATTTAACTATTGTTATTATATTATGAAATAAATCATACTTTATATAAAATATTTTTTATTGTTTCATTAAACTATCTACCATTCCATCACGTATGAAATACATCTAACAAGGACTATATTTTTTTTAGTTTCTTAAGCGCTCAAAAACATCAAGTAAAATATATTTAAGAACAAAATTAGAATTGCGATCAAATTCTGTATATGTCATATCATTAAGTGATCTCCGTCTAATTTATATGGTGTTATTGAATAATGTTAAATACTAGTTTTTGAATAAAACACAATTAAAAAAAAAATTATTTTACTGGATCGAACCCAATTTAATATTTTATTAACTTCGTACTGGACCAGTCCAACTGAGACATTAAAAAATGTTTCAACTATTCAAGTGAATAATAGGATTATACTTTACTGTTCATATTAAACAGTAGAATATAACTACACTATTTGTGTAATTACTCCATGCAAGGGGCATTAAAAAACTACTTTTCTTCCCCCTACATTTCAAATATAAATTATAATGAGATCTATAAATAGTAAATAAAGTTTTAATTGTTATCGAATCATTTGCCGTAATTTAGTTCAAAAGCAGAAGCGGTAACAAACACTAACTAATTGTGATTATGAAACGCAATTGCTAGCATTCTGTTCATGCAATCACTCATCTACCATGAGGTTCGATGGGATTTTCATACGCAAGCATACACTATTCTTGCATTTTCCATACTGTAAAGTTGTTCCATTTTTTGTATAAAGAAGGCATTTTATAATATGCATCTACTCCAATAGAGGATACCTTTTCTCACGACTTGATTATTGAATGCAAAAGTCCTCATCAACGAAGTCGGATTCCACTCGTTGAATATATAAAAACATCAACTTCGTTACAAAATTAATCGAAATATACACACCTGGTGGAAGCAAAGCTTGATGATGCATGCATTAATTCGAATGAGGGGGCCAACGACCAACTTTAACCATCCATGTTTACAAGCACAGTTCAAGATTTTGATTGGGAGTATGGTTTACCCGGGCTCTGTGGAGCCCCAGCTAAAGAAGCAATCTTCTTAGAGCTCCATGTATTATTTTGAAATCATCATGGGAACTTTGCTGGGATTTTGAAATCTTTAAAGGTCTTTGGGATATAAAGTTGATGGCTTGATGAAGTCATTTGTTTTGTTGGGTGTGATAATAACCTGAAGACTTGGGGATAAGATAAACCTCTATCTTCACTCAATGACTGCAATCTTTGGTCTGTCATCTTAATTTTCTCGCCAAATCTTGGCTCTGAAGTATCTTCTGTCGCCCGTCTGGGTTGTTCTGAGCCTTCTTAGGCCTAATTCTTCTGCCTATCAAAAGAAAAGTAGCTCCACGTGCAATTTCACCTTTCATGTCAAGAACAAGTCCAATCTTTAACCAGTCAATTTTCGGGAGTCATCATATCAATACACGGTTAAGTGAAAGAGATACCCACAGCAGATCATCAAAAATATTTCTCCCACTTAATTTGGTGACGGTTCGTAGGCAACATAATTAAGCAATAATTATTGCATTATGAATGGACTTGTCATGATCAGAAATTCGGTAATTGTTGTCATTTAATGATGGATTGTTTATGTCATATGAAACTGGAGGTGATCACGATCATCAATGACAACTGAACCACTTAATAAAACAGAGAGCTAACCACATATAAGGAGGGCTAGCTAGTGGTGTTTTTGTTAAGATTATTATTAATCAAGAACATAACTTAAATTTAATGTTTTTTTAAAATATATTCTTTTTTCTGTGCAAAACACATAAATATCATAAGAATATAAATCAAAATCAAAATATTACATGGTTTATTTAGTAAATAGAACTACTAAATAATTTAATTAAGATCCACAAGCTAATATAGCTAGAACTACTAAATATATAAATGAATTGCTTAAAGAATAAATTCTTTTTGTGATCTAATAAAGTTAAAGGAAATTAATTAGGCTAATATTCAAAGTTACTAATTATATATTAGTTAATTATTATATATAAGATATTATTAAAGTCAGTTAAATATATATATATATAAGTTGTTTTTATAAAATTATTTTTTTAATTTAAGAAAGTAAATAGGTAGCTGAATTTTTAAACTCTGACGATCACTAGCTTTCTTGCAATGTTTTACTTCAGAGTAAAATAAAAAAAAAATAGAAAAAGAAAGAAGAGGAGGGTGAACGAGCAGTCATTCCATGCCTCCAAAATTAGCAGCTTCTGTCCACTGAAAGTGCGCGTGCCTTTGTATGACATCAACAAATCCAAATCTGGATACAGCCATGACCATAAAAGGAAACATCAGTCAGCCTATTTTTAATTAATGCTCCTAATGGAAGACAGAGACCTCCCTCGGCCACTCAGATGGCCATAGAAACATCAGAATATGTCTGAGCTAGCTGTTCAGTTAGGTCATCCCACAATCAACTTATTTCTTTTTTATTATTATTATTATTATTATTATTTCTATTATCTTAATATAAAATGTCAGTGATCCCATTCAGGAAAAAAAAGTAGAACTTTGTTTTGTTTTAATATCTTGTTACATTATAATTGTTGATTAGCTGGTCGTTGTTGTACAGTGAATTGGGCTAATTCAAAAATCTTACTAGATTACAAACTAAACCGCTTAGATAAAACTTTGTACCAAACTCTTTTCTTTTCTTTTTTCATCCTCACTTGCTTTTTTAATTATAGTATTCTATGATTAATTTTTTAAAATTTGTTAAGAAAATCAAAAAATTGATAAAAGATAATAAAAGTATAAAATAAAAAAAATCTCATGATCAATCTCAAATTCATAATAAAAATTATGTTTTGGTCTACTTACTTTTTTTTCTTATTCTACAGTTGTTTAAAGTTTTTAAAATTTATTTTTGATCTAAATTTTTTTTTTTAACATTTCAGCATCTAAATTTATAAATATACCTAATAAATTAAATTGGGTTCTGTTTATATTTTTTTATTCGATTGATTTTTATTGATTTTCATTTTGTTAAGTAATTTTAAAGTTTTTTTATGTTGATTTATGAATTTTATAGTATTTTTGTTATGTTTTCATGTTAAAATGACTTAAACATTCGATTTATAAAGTACAAAAACTTGTATCTTAATTTTCAAATCACCAAAGGAGCGGAAAACATAATAGTAAGGACTTTTTAATTATTAAATAAAATATAATAGATATCCTATGAATCATCACATGTTTTTTTTTTTGTGTACCTCTTATTTTTAACATGCATGAAAGTCATTGCTTATAAATAACTAATTAATTATAGCCCCAAAAAGGAGAAGAAAATCTTTTTAATGTGGATAGTCAGAATAGCTAGGGTTTTTTTAGTACAATGAAAAAATTGTGATATTAATATTGTAAGGACTTTTTAATCATTACATAAAATATAACATCAATCCTATAAATCATCACTTGTTTTTTTTTTTTTTTTTTTGCATACCAGCTTAAGGATGTAATGTTTTATAAATATACAATGTAATTTACAAATGAACGATTTTTTTTGTAATTATCCATTTGAATAACGCTGAGACCAAGGTCTCATGCCTGATCTCAAACATGTGAAATGAACTGTGAACCCTAAAACGCAGAAGGAAACTACCAACTTACACTGATAATGAATGGGTTCAGTATTTACAAGTATGAGGACTTTTCCAGCCATAATGATCACACAGATGAAACACACTCTTTGCAAGGAATTCGTAGAGGAAACAAGTGGATAAGCTATATATCACCGTCTACTTCTGCTTATAAGATTACTTTTACCGGCATATTATTACAAGTCTACTGGTAGTTTCAAATGCTGAAACTACCTAAAGCTCTCTAGATAGAAGTTTGCATTTCTAGGTCTGTAGACCCTTGGTTTGAGCAATTTCAATTGTCAGGGTTACGTGAGTATCTTTTAAATCCAAATCCAACAATGAAATAGGTTTTTTGTTAGCTCTTTTGAGCTCAATATTGATGTAACATCACGATAAGTATTTCATTTTTCACAAGCTGAACATGGACATAGAAAGCATAAGAAACCGAAAAGTAATTAAGCTTAGTTACGTTAGAGAGTTACTCCCACATAATGGATGAGTTCGGCATTCTTTTTTTACCAATTCATGGAGCTGTTTATCTTAATTAGCATCACTCTCCAGATGAAATTAAGCAATACTGTACGCTGGAGGAGGGAAAGCTTTAAGAATAGGTATTTCAACTAGGATGGAGAAAGGGCTATCTGCATCGTGTAATCCAAAGCTTACTGGCTTTCTAATGAAATAAAAGAAGCAAAATGAAGTTGCTTTGTCCAATGCAATTGTAATTAAATATATATAACATTTATATAATTTTCATTGTTCAATTTATTGTCAGTTTTAATTTATTCAATAAATAACGTAAATTGTTCGAGAAAATTCTCCAGTCAGTGTATATCCACAATTGGGATTAATTTCTTTCCTTCTTCTTCTTCTTCTTCTCTAATAAAGCACACACAACCCAAGAAAAGAGAAGACGCCACAGAGAAGAAGGGAGAGTGATCCCATCTTGAATATATGATTTATATATGTTTTAGGGAGGCCACATTATTTATTTATTTATTTTAATTGATGATGCGCACGGTGATCTTCGTTTCCTTGGTTTCACTTACAAAAAAATAACGCTTCGAGATTTCGGATCGAATAAAGAAGACAAAAGAACAGTAATTCATATTTCTGGGAGTGAGATTGTGCAAGCAATCAAAATGAGTTCAAAAAAGCAGCACTCAAAATGATCCAATTAAAACTCCCTCGGCTTGTTAGCACTTCTTTGGGAAAGGGCTTACCTGTGAAGAAGAAGAAGAAGAAGAAGAAGAAGAGAAAGGGCTTACCTGTGAAGAAGAAGAAGAAGAAGAAGAGGGGCTCATGGACGTCGTAGACATCTCCCATGGAAACATTATCTGCATATAAAAAAGCCAACAAGAAAAGCATGTTAGCACATCCCTAGAAAGCCCTGCCTTTCGCCCCTTCTTTCATTGTCTTGTTTTGGTCCCCTTTACACCTACCACTCTTTTTGTATGGTTCTACTTTCATTTTGGATGTTTACGGCTGCAAACAACACATGTTTCAATCAGAACTACGGTTTCAAGCCAGTGCCCTAGACACGTTGACGAAGCAGATGACTTGGTTGCCACTATAGATGATCCCATTCTGTCATAAACTATTAACTTCTGGCCACAATGTCCATCCAAATTTGCGTTGCCACGGAAACCATTAATGCCACATCGTGCCCTCATAGTTCTTTCAGCAGCTCATGGCCCCGTCTTATCAAAACATCATATATGCCCCAACAATTCTTCTTCTTTTTTTTTTTGTTCTTTTTTGGAGGGGGTGGGGAGGCCTGTGATGTTAACATATTTGGGTTAAACAAACAATTTAGGTAAAAAACTTGTGTTTATAATATATTTTTTTAGCCTTCCTTTCGATCCGTAGTTGATGGGCCAAAAGGTTCAAAGCTTTTTTAAAAAAAAGAAAAAGGAAAAAAACCGAACAACAAGCAAGCTGTCTAATCAAACCAAATAGCAAGAAATGATCCAGTCAAACCGAACAACAAGGGAGCTGTTCCGTTAAATTAGACAACCAACAAGTTGCCCGGTCAAGAATCAATTTGAGTTCTCCGCGTAAGGAATCTTTTGATTTAAAGTTCTATCATTTTGGTGGCAAAAACCATTTTCAACAATAATTATTATTTTTTCATGCTGGATTCTAGTGAGTTCATCTCTCTCTTCTCATAAAACAAAATAAAAAATTTAATTTTGATATCAAAATTAAATTTATAAAAATTAAAGAAACCAATCATTCAATAAATAAAAACGATGGAAGATTAAAATATACTTGTCAAACAAGTGTCAAAGCCACCATTTATTTTACTTGTTTTTTGCACTTGAGTCTACTATTTTTCAATTCAACTCTTCCTCCTAAAAAAATATGCAATTTGATATTAATTTGAGCTAAAAAAATTCAATTATGTAAAATAAAAATTCAAGATTCAAATTAAAATTTTAAAAAAAATTACTCCTTAATTTATGAGAAAATAAACAATTATGGATGCTACTGGGTAGCCCTTTTAGTTTATTTTAATTTTGCTCCGTTTAAGTCATTGCGTAAGTAGAGTGGCTTTTTATTTCACCTTGTTTGGGCTTTGACCCAAACAAACAAAGTGGCTTTTATTTTTTTTTTAAAAAGTGGCTTTTATTTGAGTACACTTTTTTCTCCTTTTTTTATCTTTTCTTGGTGTAAATATTAATAATTAATCTATAAAAGTACAATAATATTTTTCACGGCTTCATGGTCCATTCAGTTTTCTTTAAAATAATAGAAGCATTTAATATCTTGTTTTTTTCCCGAGGAGTTTTAGGAGCTGTTCATTTTTATTTTTATTTTGCAAAACTAAAGGATAAAAAGGAAAAATTAGAATATTACATTAAATAAAATATTTTTCTATCTAAAAAACTTTATAATGAGTTTGGAAAACACATTTTAAAGGTTCTCCGTAATTTTTCAATACAATTTTTAATGGTTTTCTAAATAAAAAAAAACATAAATAATACAATTTTATTTGTTATACAAACACTTTTTAAATGTGAAGTATTGAGAATATTCCTTATATTTAGTTAGTGTTATAAATTTAATTTTAATTATAAATCTAATTTAAGAAATCTTGTTTTAGTTACCCATATGATTTTAACTTTTTTATTTTAATGAAATAAAATTAATATTCTACAATTAGATTATCACAACTACAAAATATTAAGATAGTTATTATAAATTATGGTTTTGATTTTTATAAAAAAAATAGTCGTAATCTTAATGTGTTATTTATTTTTTTTATGGAAAAAGTGTATTTTTATTTTCAACAAATAAATATGTTTTCTAATTTCTCATTTGATAGGTACTTAAAAATATATTTTTATTATGATTTTATATCATTATATTACACTTAAAATATCATTAAATTTCATAACTTAAGTATGTTTTATAATAATAAGATTAATAATACAAAATATTTTTAACTTATGGTAAATACTTGATTTTAAATGCAGGTTTATAAATAGATATATCTTATAATTTAGGGAACTCTTTTACGTGTTTAATAATTGAAATTGGAGTTTATGTGAAGAGACAAAATGAAGGCCAAACTTAATAAATAAATCCTAGCTGGATTTGTTTCATTCAAACTAGAATACAATTTGGTTTTTAGGTTATAAATGGAATTGTTGACTTCATATTTAAATGTAGTTTAATTTTATGGAAAATTACTATATAGACTTAAAGTTTTTATGGAGAGTTTAAAACTCAATACTATTATTTTTAAGTTCAAGTTTTAGCAATAGAATTAAAATCTGAATTTATCTCACAATTTAAACAGTACTATTTGATATTTAGCTCATATTTAAAGTTCTAGAAGTTCAAATAAATTTATTTCTTTTTGGTTGGAAATTTGATACATTTATCTATAACTTTTATAAAGATTATCTACTCATTTTATAATGTTATCACCAACGTTTTATTTAGCCATTTAATCAATAGTTATTTATCATATTAATAGTTTTAATTTTTAGCCTGTAAAGTTAAAGTATTTTTCATATATTTAGATATCTTGGTTTTTAAATCAAGATTCATACTCTTGCTTTCTTTTTTTATATTTTTGTAATATTCAAGTTTTATTTATTATTATATTCTCATTAATCTATTGTTTATGCTTGATATTTTTTTTATATACTTAATTAATTTATATCATAACTATGATTTTATTTCGTTTATTTATGTATTTCTTTTTAGTTATGTTTACTTTTGTTAAAATAAAAATATTACACTAATGGTGTAAAAATAAGTATTATACGTACTCAACATTGACTCTAATATTTAAATTTAAGTTTGCTATTAACACATATTATAATTGTTATGTTAATAAATCTTTAAAACCCTTATTGTTGAGTGTGAGTTTTGATTTACCGTGTATCACGATGCAATAGAACGTCTTTAGAGTGTGGAAAAAATAAAGAATTTTGCAAAATATATCTACTTGTCTATACAAAATGCAAGTTCAAATTGTAGTGACATTAATTACATTATTTTTTTATTTTTTTAATTACAATGGAAGGAAGTTGCAAAAAAATATAATATTTGTAGAATTTGATTATATTTTATTTTTATTCTTGATAATTTTTTAATTGATATTATTCCATGTTCAGGAAGGTATGGATACCAAAAGCCTTTCCCAATAAATTATGTTAGTAAAAGATTGCAACTAATTCAACGAGACAATAAAAATAAAAATACAATCTTCATATTACATTATTGTATTTATAATATGATAATAATTTAATACATAATAATATAATTTGAAACTACATGTTTCTTTTATTTTTTTTATTATCAACATCATTTTGAAAACTATTTTTTCCTGCAACCATTTCAATTAAAATTTTAACAAAAATATACATTTTATAAAACCAACTATAAAAATTGACTATTCTAAATTAATTTTTTTAAATCACAGCAACCAAAACGACCGCAATTTCCAACCACACTATCAATAGCAAGATGAGCCTAGATTCTCGTCTAAGTAAAAAAGGGACCGAAGACTCTCTGTCTTGATATGTTGACTGCAATCAATGGAGGGAAAAAAGAAAACTTTTTTGGTTTTGTGAAAGGTGTCCTTTAACATGGATGAATGTGATGACGTAACTATCATCATCATGGTGGCCGGGCCGGCCACACCTCTCTACTCTGTACTGTAACTTAATAAGTTTAGTACTTGTCCCTCTTCACAGATTTACTTTTGTCGTCCTTGTACACTCACTGCCTTGCCTTTTTTCAGTCCCCCTCTCTCTGGCTCCCCCCTCTGCCAAAACTAAAGAAAAGAAAACCAGCTGCATCATTAATTCCCACCCTCTTCACCCTCTCTTGTGCTTCTTCTTCTTCTTCTTCTTTGTTTTGTATGTGAAATATTACAAGGCCAATGGGTTGCTTTTATTCTCGAACCATCCACCTTCCCTCCCCCGACGACCTCACTAAGCTTCACTCAGGTCTCTCTCTCTCTCTCTCTCTCTCTCTGGGTTGTTTTCTTTTCTTTCTTCCCGTTTCTGTTTGGTATCTCCAGCATTGTCATTGATGTGTTTTTTTCTTTTTCTTTTTATAATTTTTTTCTATTAATTAGCTAGTGTTGCTTGCATTTGCTACTTTTTTTTTCTTCTATCTTTCTAGTGCATCCTTTTAAATTATTGATGGGATTTGATTGTTGTTTCTTTTTTCTTTGAAGAAAATGGGGATGAGGGTGGTCAAGTCCAGCAAGTGCCAGCATTCAAAGAGTATAGTTTGAGCGAGCTAAGAAAGGCCACTAATGGGTTTTGCACAGATTTTATCGTCTCTGAGAGTGGTGAGAAAGCGCCTAATGTTGTTTATAGGGGTATTCTTGACAACAATCATTTGGTGGCTGTTAAAAGGTTCTCTAAATTGGCATGGCCTGATGCTCAACAGTTTGTGGTGAGTCTCCATTTTCTGTGTGTTGTTGACAAAACGAGAAGAAAGAAAATCAAGTAGCAATAGTAATTTGGAATACGGAATATGAATGCGGGTTTAGCTTGTGTCTCCTTTTCTTTTAATTTGAAAATTAAGAGACTCGTCGTATTTACATTATGTAATAAAGTAGTTGTTTGGACTAATAAAGAAGTGGAGTAGAAATTCAAATGGGTTGTTGACGAGTAAGGGTCTTGTTTTTTTCCTTTTGGAGATGGATGCTCCAGCTGGAGTGTAAAAGGCCCAACATTTTCTTAGAAACCTAACACACTAGTTCTTTTCCAATTCGGTTCAAAATTCTCTTATAGTCTTTTGTTTTTCTTAACATATCCAAAATGCTGTTTATGGTTCCTGGCTAATTCACAATCGAGTATGATTGCGATGGAAATTCCTTGGCTGGTCAGGTGGAAGCGGCAGGGGTG